CGGATTTCGACAATTAATGTCTCTTCAGTGGTGTTAGGAATCGAAACGGTTATTGGAAGGCCACATAATTTACCTCAATTTAGGATAGACTCTTGAATTTTGAGGAGGCAAAATAGGATGAACGGATCATATAAACCCGAAGACAAATATAATACAAGCCCAAACGAAAAAATATAAACAAGTCTAAATTGAAAACAACGTTCAAACCTATGATTGCGTTGGATAAAAACCGCAATTTTTATACGTGTGCATGCAAAACAAATTTCTTGTTAGAGGGGTCTAAATACAGCACAAACAACATTTTCCAAAAGACCAAAAGAGTGAAAAAGTATATTTTAACAAAACGCATTTGACTAACAGGTCGAACAACAAATGTTCTTAAATCCTGCTGACTGCCATTGGCGATTGCCAAATAAACGGATCACAAGGTGTAATAAATGGATCTTCTTAACTATAAATTTAATACCAAACAGAAAACAATAAACTTGCGACAAAGATGGTATACCGCAAACAAAGGTGCAAAGATTTTTTGTACACCATATCCGGATTTCGACAATTAATGTCTCTTCAGTGATGTTAGGAATCGAAACGGTTATTGGAAGGCCACATAATTTACCTCAATTTAGGATAGACTCTTGAATTTTGAGGAGTCAAAATAGGATGAACGGATCATATAGACCCGAAGGCAAATATAATACAAGCCCAAACGAAAAAATATAAACAAGTCTAAATTGAAAACAACGTTCAAACCTATGATTGCGTTGGATAAAAACCGCAATTTTTATACGTGTGCATGCAAAACAAATTTCTTGTTAGAGGGGTCTAAATACAGCACAAACAACATTTTCCAAAAGACCAAAAGAGTGAAAAAGTATATTTTAACAAAACGCATTTGACTAACAGGTCGAACAACAAATGTTCTTAAATCCTGCTGACTGCCATTGGGTATTGCCAAATAAACGGATCACAAGGTGTAATAAATGGATCTTCTTAACTATAAATTTAATACCAAACAGAAAACAATAAACTTGCGACAAAGATGGTATACCGCAAACAAAGGTGCAAAGATTTTTTGTACACCATATCCGGATTTCGACAATTAATGTCTCTTCAGTGATGTTAGGAATCGAAACGGTTATTGGAAGGCCACATAATTTACCTCAATTTAGGATAGACTCTTCAATTTTGAGGAGTCAAAATAGGATGAACGGATCATATAAACCCGAAGGCAAATATAATACAAGCCCAAACGAAAAAAAATTTAAACAAGTCTAAATTGAAAACAACGTTCAAACCTATGATTGCGTTGGATAAAAACCGCAATTTTTATACGTGTGCATGCAAAACAAATTTCTTGTTAGAGGGGTCTAAATACAGCACAAACAACATTTTCCAAAAGACCAAAAGAGTGAAAAAGTATATTTTAACAAAACGCATTTGACTAACAGGTCGAACAACAAATGTTCTTAAATCCTGCTGACTGCCATTGGCGATTGCCAAATAAACGGATCACAAGGTGTAATAAATGGATCTTCTTAACTATAAATTTAATACCAAACAGAAAACAATAAACTTGCGACAAAGATGGTATACCGCAAACAAAGGTGCAAAAAGATTTTTTGTACACCATATCCGGATTTCGACAATTAATGTCTCTTCAGTGATGTTAGGAATCGAAACGGTTATTGGAAGGCCACATAATTTACCTCAATTTAGGATAGACTCTTGAATTTTGAGGAGTCAAAATAGGATGAACGGATCATATAAACCCGAAGGCAAATATAATACAAGCCCAAACGAAAAAATATAAACAAGTCTAAATTGAAAACAACGTTCAAACCTATGATTGCGTTGGATAAAAACCGCAATTTTTATACGTGTGCATGCAAAACAAATTTCTTGTTAGAGGGGTCTAAATACAGCACAAACAACATTTTCCAAAAGACCAAAAGAGTGAAAAAGTATATTTTAACAAAACGCATTTGACTAACAGGTCGAACAACAAATTTTTCTTAAATCCTGCTGACTGCCATTGGCGATTGCCAAATAAACGGATCACAAGGTGTAATAAATGGATCTTCTTAACTATAAATTTAATACCAAACAGAAAACAATAAACTTGCGACAAAGATGGTATACCGCAAACAAAGGTGCAAAGATTTTTTGTACACCATATCCGGATTTCGACAATTAATGTCTCTTCAGTGGTGTTAGGAATCGAAACGGTTATTGGAAGGCCACATAATTTACCTCAATTTAGGATAGACTCTTGAATTTTGAGGAGGCAAAATAGGATGAACGGATCATATAAACCCGAAGACAAATATAATACAAGCCCAAACGAAAAAATATAAACAAGTCTAAATTGAAAACAACGTTCAAACCTATGATTGCGTTGGATAAAAACCGCAATTTTTATACGTGTGCATGCAAAACAAATTTCTTGTTAGAGGGGTCTAAATACAGCACAAACAACATTTTCCAAAAGACCAAAAGAGTGAAAAAGTATATTTTAACAAAACACATTTGACTAACAGGTCGAACAACAAATGTTCTTAAATCCTGCTGACTGCCATTGGCGATTGCCAAATAAACGGATCACAAGGTGTAATAAATGGATCTTCTTAACTATAAATTTAATACCAAACAGAAAACAATAAACTTGCGACACAGATGGTATACCGCAAACAAAGGTGCAAAGATTTTTTGTACACCATATCCGGATTTCGACAATTAATGTCTCTTCAGTGATGTTAGGAATCGAAACGGTTATTGGAAGGCCACATAATTTACCTCAATTTAGGATAGACTCTTGAATTTTGAGGAGTCTAAATAGGATGAACGGATCATATAAACCCGAAGGCAAATATAATACAAGCCCAAACGAAAAAATATAAACAAGTCTAAATTGAAAACAACGTTCAAACCTATGATTGCGTTGGATAAAAACCGCAATTTTTATACGTGTGCATGCAAAACAATTTTCTTGTTAGAGGGGTCTAAATACAGCACAAACAACATTTTCCAAAAGACCAAAAGAGTGAAAAAGTATATTTTAACAAAACGCATTTGACTAACAGGTCGAACAACAAATGTTCTTAAATCCTGCTGACTGCCATTGGCGATTGCCAAATAAACGGATCACAAGGTGTAATAAATGGATCTTCTTAACTATAAATTTAATACCAAACAGAAAACAATAAACTTGCGACAAAGATGGTATACCGCAAACAAAGGTGCAAAGATTTTTTGTACACCATATCCGGATTTCGACAATTAATGTCTCTTCAGTGATGTTAGGAATCGAAACGGTTATTGGAAGGCCACATAATTTACCTCAATTTAGGATAGACTCTTGAATTTTGAGGAGTCAAAATAGGATGAACGGATCATATAAACCCGAAGGCAAATATAATACAAGCCCAAACGAAAAAATATAAACAAGTCTAAATTGAAAACAACGTTCAAACCTATGATTGCGTTGGATAAAAACCGCAATTTTTATACGTGTTCATGCAAAAACAAATTTCTTGTTAGAGGGGTCTAAATACAGCACAAACAACATTTTCCAAAAGACCAAAAAAGTGAAAAAGTATATTTTAACAAAACGCATTTGACTAACAGGTCGAACAACAAATGTTCTTAAATCCTGCTGACTGCCATTGGCGATTGCCAAATAAACGGATCACAAGGTGTAATAAATGGATCTTAATTAAAAATTTAATACCAAACAGAAAACAATAAACTTGCGGCAAAGATGGTATACCGCAAACAAAGGTGCAAAGATTTTTGTACACCATATCCGGATTTCGACAATTAATGTCTCTTCAGTGATGTTAGGAATCGAAACAGTATTTGGAAGGACATGTAATTTACCTCAATTTAGGATAGACTCTCGGATTTTGAGGAGTCAAATTAGGATGAACGGATCATATAAACCCGAAGGCACGACTCACGAGTTGATTTTTTTGTCAATCACGATTCACAGAAAATAAATTTCCATGATCACGGATCACAAAAATATAAAAAAAAATAAATCTGTAGAAAAACGGATCACGATAGCGAAAATGCACCGATCACGAAGAACGAAAATAACCCATCAGGCCCCTCAAATATCAGTTAAAATATGTTGGTTTGCATGACATAACTAATTCAAAAACATGATCCAACATTTTAAAGTCTAACTTCATTGTAGCCATATATATCCTGATTTTAAAAAGTATCACCTTTCAATATGACAATTGTCAATCAATGCGTGACAGACGACATTCCAAAATTAACTTACTGCTAAATTAACACTCGGGGTTTTTAACACCCTTATTGAGAATACTATGTAGAAAACATATTATATAATTCTAATGCAAAAACAATAGACAAGTAAATTTGGCTCAAAATGGTCCAAATAAATTTATCTTTAAGCAAAAAGTTTATTTGTTAGTTATAGTAAACAGCAACAAATATACTTTATAAGAGTAGGTCTACTTTTGTTCTTTATACTGATTGATTGAATCAGACGACACCAACACAGTATATTTTCTTCATACTACTGCTATTTTCATCATTTATAACTCTATAGTATTGCTAGAAATTTTAAATAACAAAACTTACATTCTATGTTACACGTCAACAATTTGTTACTAGAAAACTATGTATTGAGATATGGTTTCTTTCTTCGAACACGCACAAAGAGCATTATAGTGTCTAGTACATTATAGTTTTAACTTTTTTTTTCAGTCGTCGACGAACTTATGCATTAATGAAATGAACAATACACGATGCAGCCAAAGCAACCTAGAAGGCAATCATACAAGTATAAGAAAATTGATATTTGAGAATTTAGGGGTCATTTTGGCATGGAATTAGATCTTGAATTTTCAGTATATGTATACGAAATAGTGACTTTTCAAAGTTTATATTTATGATACAGAGAAAATTTCTGTAAACAACGGAAGAAGATGAGGTGTAACTTGTTTACGTAAAGAAAACAACGAATGTCCGTGTTTAGTAGTATATCCAGACGTTTTTATTTTATTGTTGCACTTGAGGTGCACATTTAGCTTGACAATGTGTTGGCGTTCTATGAGATGATAATGAAAACCTGATAATTTATCAACAAAAACAAATTAATGAAATTATATATACTTTCGAAAACAACTCATAAATTTCAACCTAACGGCCTATTAGGAAAAAGACTTTGATAAGATGGTGGATCAGTTCGTGATGAGTCTATTGGTAATCCTCTGTGCCCTTCGTAATATGGTGGCGGCGGAGAGCTAGAATTGTGGTGATTAGGCTGTGACACAATAGCAATACAGAGTTCTTGAGTATCTGGTTGAGCATAATGTCGTTGATTGATTCTACGCCGAATTGGTTGCGATGTTATAGGTTGAATTCTGCGTCTCGGATGTGTATGCCTCGAATAATGTTTTTCTAAAATAGACCCAAAAACAACAGAATGAAGCAAGAGTTTCAATATTCGATACAAAATGGGATAACATATACATAAAGAGCTTTAAAATGACACTATTTGAGGATCCAGAATTTTTCGAAAATTATATTTTTTCCTTCAATTTATATAGATGAGAACATCAAGAGGAGAGGCTTTTCAAAGCAATGCGTTATTTTTTTATTAGACAACTACCGTGTATTTGGAGGGACTCGGGACTCCAAGATTGTGCAAATAAATATAAGTAAACAGCATTCTGTGCAGGACTGCTTCGGAGAAAATGTTGTAGTTGAAGTTAGAAGGGACAATGATAAATCAACTTATCTCCTCTTGAAAATTATATGTCATATTGCCATTTCCAGTATATTTTGTAGATAAACTGTAAAATGCTTTATTTTCAAGGAGTTTAAATTTCCAGGACTATAAATTGTTCGCAAGGTTTTATGTTGACGTTTTTATTATCTTCCTACAAGATCTAATTTACCTTGTTTAGGATTATTTCGCTATTCTATCTTAAAAGAATAAAACTATCGGTTAGTTAAACCTACTAGACATTTCAATGTAGGAATATCCCCAAATAGCGCTCCAACACCAACCAATGAGCAGAAATGCTGTAAACAGTAGCTGAAATAGTCCAAGCACCAAGCCACAACAACACGATGTACATTTATCCCCGAAGTCCATGTCGTCATTTTCAGCACAACAAAAAACTGAAACTCCTGCAACAACAGTGCCTGAAAGAAAACATTTGCAAAATAGTTAATCTCAATGTAATGTCGATCTCGTGAAGACATTTTTGGAAAACTGTAAATTTGTTATACATACTATTATAGTAGAAGTCTTAAAAAAGTAGACGTTCCAAAATAAAATACACACACCGTAGGATTAGACTTTATCTGGAATAGGAGAACTGGCGACCGGGAACAAAATTTTGTTGAAAATTGCATAATACAATATGCCATATGAAACAAATATACGTATCCGGGAGGCAAATTTTGCTATTTGTGATAAATATCTATAGTTAATTCCATTTGGTAACTTCTGTAGAAACAGGAGAGAAAGAAAATCGGCTATCAAAAGATTTTTTTTATGATTATAAAATTCCTGTCATGTTTTAAGGTTAGAAAATTCACATAACCGATGTAAGATAATCAATTGCCAATCCGCTTTATCACTTGATCAATCTATCATCCTATTTCATATGAGGAACACGACGGGTGCCGTATGTGGAAAATGATCTGCTGACCCTTCCGGAGAACCTAAGCTCTCCCCCGGTTTTGGCAGAGTTCTTGTTGTCTTTAGTTTACTGTGAAGTGTTTTGTGGACTTTTTTTCGTCGTTTTTCGTGTTTTGTCATGCATGGCGTTGTCTGTTTCACTTCGACATATGAGCTTTGAAAGTCCCCTTGGTATATTCCGCCTCTTTTCTGCATTCTCCTAAAACAGAAGCCCAAAAGGGAAACAATGAGCCAAGGAGTAAGTTATTTGATTTTCTTTCCTTTTCTTAAATACCTTTATATTCACCCTTTCTTTACAACAAAAGAATAAAATGAATATATTTTCAATCTAGATAATCGGCATCGGCTTCTGATATTCTTATTTTGATCTACAAATTAAACAAAACAGTTGCAGCCCCGAACCCAGTCGTTAACATATAAGTTATAAATACAAGCGATATGCATGCTTGCTTGCCATGTACAATTCGACGAAAAGTCTGTATATTGACCTTAAAATTCTTTGACAAAGTGTGAGACAATATGACATGTTGACTTTTTTATTTCCTATGTTTTGAAGATCTTTAAAGGTCACTTGGGAGACGATAGTAGTAGGGACATTATGTTTTCTGGTCTGTGCGTCCGTTTGTTCGTCCGTCCGTCCGTCTGTCCCGCTTCAGGTTAAAGTTTTTGGTCAAGGTAGTTTTTGATGAAGTTGGAAGTCCAATCAACTTGAAACTTAGTACACATGTTCCCTATGATATGATATTTCTAATGTTAATGCCAAATTAGAGTTTTGACCCCAATTTCACGGTCCACTGAACATAGAAAATGATAGTGCGAGTGGGGCATCCGTGTACTATGGACACATTCTTGTTTTTCTGAAAGTTAATAATATCATATCTATATAAATATAGTGATTCATCTTACCTGATCCAGGTATTATGAAGTTGAGACCACAACAAAAATAAGCCATACAAAGTGGCATTGCAGGAGTTACAATTCTATCCGCAAAATCACCAGACATTACAAATATTATTCCAGATTGAAAAACTTAAAGAATATCTGGTGATGAAGTACAATTAACTTCTTTTCTTTTTCTTCTTTTTCTCTGTGTGTTTGGTTCGTGTTAATCATTTTTAAGTTAAGTGTCATAACATATCGCATATATACACAAATATTTAAAAGACAAATTTTGTGTACGTCTGTGTTGTCAATCAATATGTTTGAACATTTTTTACATATACAAACATAGATTTAAATTTTATTCATTGACAGTTATTCATACAAGTGTGTGGTATACAAATATAACTATAAAAAAATTAAAAATTCTAAAGAAATCATTTGATATCGTAGTCTATTATCGACTTGTCAAAAATTCAATCAAGAAACCCCTAAGGTCCTAAAACCTTTTGAGATTCTACGTCCGAAGCGATTTTCTTACGTGGCCGCCCACACAGGCAGGATCGGCCAAACCGGAAAATTGCTACAGACTCAGAATCCCGAAAGGGATTACCAAGGTCCTACAATGACAGTGACTGGTTACTACATAATATTAGAAGTAATATGTCTTCTGTGTAAAAAGGTATAATATTTGCTTTTTTCATGCATTGTTTTTTTTATTTTTTCATGCTTTATTCATGAAAATTTTTTTAAATTTTATTGCACATAATCTTTTAATAACTAGGAGAAACTATATGCACTCCATGATTAACTCACTCTGTCCTAACTTTAAGCACTTGCATCCTAGCCAGAAACTGATCTGGCTACTTAATGCAGAAAATGTTGATTTAACATCACTGGAAGACCTGGAAAACATGTGACAAATGAGTTTTCTAGCCAAAAAATCTACTGGTGATACAAACAACAATACCAGTGCAAACTCCATTGACATACACAAAACCCAATCGCAGCCAGCAAATATCTAGGTGTAACCACAAGTTACAACTAAACCTCAGGTAGAAATATTGATACAAATATTGATAATATAATTGGCCACGGAAATAAGAAATTATAATTTATCTGTCGAAATCTTAACAAGAGTGCACACGCTGCGCTGAAATGTCTTGCCTGCTTTACTGACCATCGGTTGTATGTTGAAAGTCTAAAAGATAAAAGTTTTACTAAACTTTTTTAAAGATCTATGACAATGAGGTCAAGGTCAGATAAATCGTGTCAGACAGACATGTACTCCCTACAATTTTTTATACACCTAATATAGTTGACCTATTGCGTATGCTAATTGAAAAACAGACCAAAGCACAAAAACTTAACATTGATCAACTTTACATATAAGAGATTGCTTATTTTAAAAGATTAATAATATAAACCCTGATTATACAAATTATCAACCACTTTTAAAGCTAAAACAACTTTTAAATCCTGTTATTCTCAGAATAAACGAACACGGCACCACACGCTTTGAAAAATAAAATTATCTCATATATTGTCAAAAAAAAAACTTTTGTTTTGAAGATGAACATTTGTAACACAAAATTGCAAAATATCAGACCTCAAAGTCCAACGAGAAAAAAATTTCAATTTAATAACTAACTGTACTAAATTTTCTAAAAGTAATCTACGTTGCTATGACATTACAATAAGAGTATAAAAAAAAACTTTTGTTTCTTTTGTCTTTAAACGGCAACTTTAGCCTTTTTTCGGTAGACCTGTATTTATAATTGAACAAAAATACATCGTATGCTGGGTTTATTTGATAAAACATCCAATAGTAATAATCAAGAAATGTGGTAAATGCCCCCACAACAAGGACTTATTTAATTTAAACATTTCATTTTCTGTCAAAACGAGAGTTTCTTTCTTACACTGAATGTTTTCAATTTTTTTTTACGTCAAATTCATTCTAATATTGCCAAAATTAACGATTCTTGAACAAACTAAATAATATAATTGTAACAGTATATTTTTATTGAATAACGTAAATTACACTTTGAATAACGTAGATTTCAATAATAGGAAAAGTTGAAAAATATCTGTTCACCTAAAATAGTTAAAGCAAAGTGAATCATATCGACAAAATTTGTAAGTGCAACTATGATTAAATGAATAATATACTGGATATAATCGTTTTTAATTTTGTAACGTAAATTACAGATTAATGACAATGAGGAATCTACTTATTTCTTGTCCATACACCATAATCTGTTTTTGTTTGAACACAAAAATAAACAACAAACGTCAGATATAACTTATATACATGTATTATTACGTATGATTATGACATATATATAGAATCATGTGCAAAACAGTGTAGGCGAGACCATTGATTGGCGCGCTAAAATATCCCATTGACTGGGTCAGATTAGGTGAACGTTCGTCTGTAACGCCCACAACTCACGACGTATTTATTATAAACATTTAAACTGTGGGGTTGCCAAAGGGTTTCAGTATATATACGAACTACAGTGCACAGTTTATTATATACATATTTTATTTGCGATCATAAAATGTACGAAGCCGTCCATTACTATGTAAATTGGGTCGATTAAAAAAAAAAGCTGAAAATGTTTCTGTTGCCAAGGGTTTTTCACAAGTATAGTAGTTAGCAGAAAAGTTCACCAAACTATACATTTTACCTATTCAAAAACGTAAATGCAAATTCCACAAGGCTTGATCCAAATAGCCTTTTTATTGTCTAATAACTTGCAAGTACGAAAAAAACAGGACAGAAGTATATTTTGTCTATATGTTTTGTGTACGCACACTTTTTAAAGTTGATCATGCATTCGTTCTAAAATAAAATTTTGACCAGATAAAAGTTTAAAAGATGACATAATTGGACATGCAACCGCAATTGTTAAATCGCTTTGACGTCCGAAAAAAAAGATAATAATCAACACATGCATTGTAACTTTTAAAGCCAGTTAAATCCTTTTTTTTTTTTGTTGAAAGAACGTGCGATGTCATAAAAATTGATTATCAAAACATAACGAAAACACAAGTAAAGAACATTTACACTGAAATGCAGTCAAGTTTAGCGATTGATAATTCATTGATAACATTCTGGCGTATCACAAACAAACAACTTGTAACGTCTCACTTCATTGGCCGAAAGATTTAAATACAACAACAATTGTTGTGTGCACGTGAATTGACACAGGTGACCGACAATGGAATGTACTACGTTACTACGAACGTAAAAAACAATGATTTTTGGTCGAAATAATTAAATAAGTATTTTGTGAATTTCAAATAGTGGGGTCGAAATATTATACTAATAATTTGTGTTAAGTAATATTCTTTATGCATGCAGCACTTGTACCGCACTATGAAAAATGTAAGGATAAAATAAAATACATGTGCCGCTTTTATACGGATGAATGTATGAACCACTTTAATTTCTTTCATATTGACGCTAGGTTATTATCCTGACAATGTCGTAGTTACTTATAACAAGGATCTCATAATACTGATCCATTTCAAATTTATGATGGTTGCATATTCCTCTTTTATTGTTTTCATGCTATAAAACGAAAATAAAGAAGCTAAGCGTTTGGTCATTCAGAAATGACGTGTCATAAACGAGCAAATTGTCCCCGAAAGATCGTACCATGTGTGCACGTGAATATAGATGTACTATGCAATGTACTATCAGGCGCGTAGCTGCCTTTACGCAAATACTCATTTGCTTGCACATTTTTTTCCCAAAAAAATTAATTCTGAAATTAAATTAAGAATGAGTAGGAAGACAGGTCAACCGGGCTAACTATCCAGCTGACACCCCAAGTCAGTATTGGAAGCGAGCCTTGTATTTCTCCTTTCTTGACTATTTCATTGAAGAATTCACAGGACGTTTACTGGATAACTCTGATCGTTTTCAAGGTTAGACCCTTATACCTGCAAGTTTGGAATCTTTGACAGCAGAGTGTATAGACAAACTATACGAAACATTTAGACACGAATTGACGGACAATCAAGAAACCTTCAACTCTGAGGTAAAGAGATGGCAGAGACGCTGGTCGGGTCCAGGTGTTATAAAGTAGCCCAAATCTCTTATGTCGTCTCTAGCAGTGACTAAAAAGGAACTATATCCTTCAATAGTTTGCAATCGTGTTAATCCTAGTTACAATGCCAGTAACTACATCAACTACTGAACGGTCATTTAGTGCATTACGGCGACTGAAAACTGATCTCCGTTCAACCATGGTATAGGACAGACTATCTTCGTTGGCGCTCATACATGTTCACAGAGAAATGAATATCAACACCGAGAGAGTTCTGCGATCATTTGCCTTGGCAAAAAATAGATATATATTGACTTTGGATATTAACTATACTTTAAGTCTTACATGCAGTATTAACATTTAATAATACAGGCTCAATACAATAACCTTGAAAACATCTTAGATTTATATCCCTCACTTATAAGTCAAGACTTAAAAGTCGCCGTTTGATTTCGTATTCCCATTGTCCGTTCGTCCAAAAGACTATTTATTCACCTTGGGTATCTGTGTCCCAAGTGAACTTCTACCGTTGTCGTAGAAACCTCTCCTTTGATTCGAAAATGACCTTAGTGCGAAACGCTACGGTCGGGTGTCTTGCAAAAAGCAGGACCTGCTTACCCTTCCGGAGCACTGGAGGTCGCCACATTTTTTTTTTCGGGGTTCGTGTTTTTTATCTGTATTTAGTTTTCAATATTGAATGTTTTTGTTTGTTCTTTTGTGTCTTATCTGATCCCGGGTTGGTCAAGTGTCCATTGATTGCCCTTCTATTGATAAACGCTTCGGTTGACTTGTCGTCTGATCTTCCCGTTTTATAAAATTTATTTTATATTTGAAAACAACCATGTTAATAAGGAGTAATGTGAATTTCATAAGCATGGCATTCCTGGAAAATGACCAAAAATGATTATTTTCGGCATAAAAAGGTCCCAATAAATTGGTAAAAGACTTATGCTTGCACTTTATTTTAGGCCAGCTACGCCCCTGACTATCATGGTCACCACGAAATTCAAATGAATTCAGTGAAGGCATGTTGGTGTAAAAAGGTTTGAAATGTTTCATCGGCGAAGATTTTATTTTTGCATGTGTGGAACTAAAAAATAAATAAATACTTGTGAGAAATGTCGTAGTTTATAAGGAACTATATAAATGTACTGTTTTCGATTTTGATTGGTTGAAAATTTATCCTTTAATTTCATACCGTAAGAATAGAGCTTTGCATAACATTGTTGAACAATCCGCCAAAGTAACGTGTGGCATGCGTGCGTATT